CACCCCCACAAGAGAGACAAATATAGCAACCACAGATGACAATACAAATGTCAGCAAGAACCATTACTGAACAAAGCATGGCAATAACCATTACTCAATTACCCAAAGAGATGGGTTACCATTAGGCTAAAAAAACCCGCTCCAACACATGATACACGTAATTTACACGTCATTATATCATTTATACACTTTACAGATACCCCCCCCCCATTATTTATCTAGATCACAGACACTGTTTCTCAATCCACCAATTTGTGGTGTCAGAGAGCAGATTTAAATGTCCCCATCATGACCACGATGATTACCAGATGGAGGAACATTCGATTTGAAAAACGATTTTCCGCTGACAGCATTCACATTGTCCTCGCCAGCCTGCACAGTGTCTTGGACGTTTTTTTTCGCTTGTTGCATTAACTCTCAAAGACTGTTGTTGCTGTGGTGTCAACATTCCTATCAACTTTCAAACACTACTGTTATTACTGGTACTAACTTACCAAGAATGCTACTGCTATTGGTGTAACTTTTCAAGACTGCTGTAGTTATAGGTATTACCTTCCAAGACTGCTGTTGTTATAGGTATTACCTTCCAAGACTGCTGTTGTTATAGGTATTACCTTCCAAGACTACTGTAGTTATAGGTATTACCTTCCAAGACTGCTGTTGTTATAGGTATTACCTTCCAAGACTACTGTAGTTATAGGTATTACCTTCCAAGACTACTGTAGTTATAGGTATTACCTTCCAAGACTACTGTAGTTATAGGTATTACCTTCCAAGACTGCTGTTGTTATAGGTATTACCTTCCAAGACTGCTGTTGTTATAGGTATTACCTTCCAAGACTACTGTAGTTATAGGTATTACCTTCCAAGACTGCTGTTGTTATAGGTATTACCTTCCAAGACTACTGTAGTTATAGGTATTACCTTCCAAGACTACTGTAGTTATAGGTATTACCTTCCAAGACTACTGTAGTTATAGGTATTACCTTCCAAGACTGCTGTAGTTATAGGTATTACTTTCCAAGACTGCTGTAGTTATAGGTATTACTTTCCAAGACTGCTGTTGTTATATGTATTACTTTCTAAGACTGCTGTTGTTATTGGAGTCAACTCTTCAAGATTGCTGTGGGTCGTGGCATTAACTTTCCAAGACTGCCATTTTATTTTTTTGCATCCTGGTAAGAATGATTTGATCTCTTGTTATGACTTATTCACAGTAGACTAACTCCTCACACTTTCATTGTAAATACTTTCTGAAAAAGTCTGACTGCATTAAACATTTTTTTAACGCTTCTAAAAGAAATACATTTTCAAGTTTTTCAAAGAAATACATGTATCAAGTTCAAGCGTGCAATGTCTTTTTGACCCCATTAACTTTCAATGTCACAATATAAATACTTTTGTTCCGCCTTTTTGAACAGTTAACTAACTTCATTATCACAGGAGAGCGGGTTCTGTTTTTTTTTTAAAATGTAGATGTTTTTATTATAATAATAATAATAAATAGCATTTATACTGCGCATTTCCATTTCCTAAAAGATGCTCAATGCGCATTACAATGAAAAAGACATCACATCTTAAAAATTAATCGACACAAATGTGTACGTAAAACAAAGTATTATACATATAATATAGATGCTTATGTGTAAAATTTTATACCAGAAAAACAGTCTCGCAGTGAGGTTGAAAATGTGTTCACTAAAAATATACAATGCAATAAAAATTCACGAACAGTCAAAATAAAGTTGAAACGTGAGTAACTAGAAACATTCATTAAAACATTAACTCTATACAGATAGAAAAATATTTCCGTTCTCTCTCTCTCTGTCTCTCCTTCTCTCTCTCTCTTTCTCTCTCCCTCTCTCACTATTTCTCTTTCTATCTCTCTCTTTTTCTCTCTCATTCTCACTCGCTATTTCTTCAGTCTCACAGTCTGGCATACACATGCATATATATCACAGTACATCATTATGACAGGTATGCTTTTGTGAATAAAAAATGCTTCAGCTGATTTTTGAAAATGGAAATTGTTGGGGCAGATCTTATTTTATATGGGAGTTCGTTCCATACCTGGGGACCAAAGAACAAAAAGGAACGCTCGCCGTATGTTTTGTAATTTTGTTTTGGAGTTTTAAGAATTAGATTGTCAGAGGCTGATCTAAGGGCTCTAGGTGGATGATATAATTCCAGGAATGTTTTAAGATAAAAAGGTGCACTATCATTTATACATTTAAAACAGAGAACGGCAGTTTTGTATTTAATCCTTTCTTTTATTGGCAGCCAGTGTAGTTCTTTCAAAATTGGTGTTACGTGGGCTGATTTCTTTTGTTTCATTATCAATTTTGCTGCTTGATTTTGGAGTACTTGTAACTTTGATAGTTTTTATGCCCTAATCGACACAATTTAGATCATTTAGGGCAGGGCCAACCTGGGCTGAGAGGGACAAAGCATCCAAACAGAAAGATCAAGATACTCTATAAAACTTCTCACCTCAGGGAAATCAAACTGAGGCATGCAAGGGCGAAGCATCTAACCCCTTCACCACAGATGCTGGTTCGATCGAGCAATCAACATGCACAATCACATCAGACAACTGAGTTGCGGGGAGTATGAAGGGGAGAAGGTAACAAAGGAAAAAAAAAACAACCTTCGTTTCACTGCACTAATATAATTGAAAATGAAATTTGTAAATATTTTTCGCTCCCATCAACACAATTGAGGTAAAAAAAACCCCAAAAATACCCTACTCCACGAACATGAATCACGATGTTTTGTTTTGACTTGTTCTGTTTTGACTCGTTTTGTTCTGACAAGCACCCGCAGCGGTCATCCGGAGACCATTATGGTGGCGGATTCCCACAGAGCCCCGAGGTCCACCCTCTTCCTCTACCTCCTGGCCCTGAGCGCCCACGTCACGAGCCAGTCCCACCCGATGACCACAACGTGCACACGCGTGTGTCGGGAGTTCCAGGAGGCCAAAGCGCGTTGCCTCGCGGACAGAAACTGTTACAGTCTGAACAGGGGGGCGTTTAACGCCCAGGTCTGGTTCTGTATGCAGGTGAAGGACTATTATTATACACACAACAACAGGAGTTACAAAAAAGAGTGACTGAGACAGAAAGAGAGAGCGAGAAGGAGATAGACAGAAAGAGAGATAGAAAAGGAGAGAGAGAGACGGGCAAGGAGAGAGGGAAAACAGAGAGGGAGCAGGGTAGAGAGCAAGAGAGAAAGAGAGAGAGAGAGAGAGAAAGAGACAGAAAGAGAGAGAGAGAGGGAGAGGGAGAGGAAGAGGGGGGAGGGAGGTAGGGGGAGAGATAGAGATATATATATATATATATATATAGAGAGAGAGAGAGAGAGAGGGGAGAGAGAGAGAGAGAGAGGGGAGAGAGAGAGAGAGAGAGAGAGGGGAGAGAGAGAGAGAGAGAGAGAGAAAGAGCTCATTGCTGTTTTAGTCAGTCTGTAAACTAAAACAACACATTTTGAACTAGATTTAATATTTTACGCAGGAGCAGTTCCTCCCTCTGTCTTCAAGGTGTTGCTATTCCAGTATACAGTATCACAATCAACAACAAAATAACAGGCTACATTTTATTAAGTGTCTGTCTCTCTCTCAGAAATATGGCTCTAATCTATGCGCTTTACAATTTCTTTTTTCCCTCGACAGACCCAATGCAATTCTGAAACATTCTCAGCATCCAGAGAAGAATTCAGAAGTAAATTACCGTCATTACACATTATCTATTTGTTTTTGTCAGAGTTTTACGGCACTTACAACAAAAATAAGCCATGAAAGTCCTGAAGATTAGAGATGTTACAAGAGAAAAGGATAACAAAAGAAAAGGAGGAGAGATAAGGGAAGTAGATGTTAGATAGGAAGGCAGGACCAAACCACACCTGAACATCCACCATCCACCCACATTTTCTCTAAGGATACAAAGCTTGACTACTGGAGCCCATGATAAACTTTTAGCTTCCAGAAACCATTTCTCTGTCCATTTTAGTTTGAATACAAAGAAGCCCAATGACAAAACGACTGATAGTTTAGTTTTAGCAGAGGTTTTACGGCGCTCACAACTGCATACGGTCATAATATGAGCGCCAGAAGATTAGAGGTGTTACAAGAGAGTAACAAACACAAAAAAGAAGAAGGGGAGATAAGGACGATAAATGTTTGATACGAAAGAAGAAGCAAACCACACCAGAGCACCCGCCAACTACCCACAAAATGACAGATATGAAGTGTTGGGAAACAGTAAGACTGACAGACAGAAACAAGGCAGAAAAGAAGACGTACCAGTACCAGTAGCACCCTCCAACCACCCATTAAAAACTGAAAGCTTAACGACATCCCCATATTTTGAAGTGGTTTCAAACGAAATAAAGGGACAAATTCCTTGTATAAATCCCATCTATTTCCCTTAAAAGAATATTCTCCCCAACTTTTACTTTTAGAACGGGCTTACAGCACTTGCAACACAAGTAGGTCATATAAGTGCCAAAGATTAGAGGTGTTACAAGAGAGTAACAAAAACAAAAATAGAAGAAGGAGAGACAAGGTCAATATATTTGATAGGAAAGAAGGAGCAAACCACACCAGAACATCCGCCAACCACCCACATTCTCCTCTACAGATGCATTGGTCATCATGAGATATTGAAAGACGAACTATTCTTACAGAAACAAAGCATTCAGAATACATAACAGCATTCAGTGAAAAAAAAAAAAACGCACCAGAAGGCCCAGATGCACAAACTATTTTCCTCAATTATAAAAACATAAACCACAATTCTAACAACATTCAATGTGTGGGTGATAGGTGCGTGCTCTGTCCCTTCTTTCCTATGAAACATATATCGTCCTTAGTTTTCCTCCTTTTTAATGTTTGTTACTCTCTTTTAACACCTCTAATCTTCAGCACTCATGTGACGTTATTACGTTGCAAGTATCGTAAAACTCTTACTTAAACTACCTATACAAGACCGTCACCTGTACAAGAGTCACTTTCTATTTTCTCTCTTGCATATTTTTTACATTAATATATATCTCTGTGCAAGACGTACACCTGTCTAAGACAACTACTTTTCTCCTCAACAATGGGTGGCAGTCTTAGACAGTTTTGACAGCACATAAACAATTAGAGAAACCACAATTCTAGCAACATTCAAGGTACTTCAGACCTGAAAAAAATATCAGACCTTATTGAATGAGCGCTCAGAATATTCCATTATCAACCATGATAAAAAGCTGTGTGTCCTTTGCTCCCCAGCCCTGCCGAGACATCCCACGGCCGTGTGCCGACGCGTGTGTGTCATACTATTACGCCATCACACAGACGTGTCAGGCACGCTGCTCACACAGGAACGCAAACTGCCAGAACGACTGCTTCGACATAGAGTTTGGCAAAGTCAAGCCAAGAGTTTGAAGCTGTCAAAACAAGCCCTTCATGTACTCGTAAACACACCTTGATGTTCCAGCAAAAACACCTTCATGTACTAGCCAACACGTCTTTTTTAAAGTTTTGGTTAGAGTTTTAAGGCACTTGAAACACAAATAGGTCATACAAGTGCTGAATATCAGAGGCATTATTATAGAAAAACATACAAAGAAAAGAGGGAGCAGAGATAAGGACAATAGATGTTTGATCGGAAAGACAGAGCAAACCACACCAACACGTCCGCCAACCACCCACTCAACTTGATACAGCAGCAAACATTTCTGAATGTTCTTGCAAACCCACCTTGGGGTACTAGCAAATAAACCAGATAGTATGACAGCCAGACAGGAACAACAGAAGGACAGAAAAGAAATAGGACCTTCCAGCGGCGCCCTCCAAGGAAGAAAACTGTAATGCATTCAACTGTGAAGACAAGGTCTAGAATTTGCCCGACGCCCTAGCCTTACATTTACATAAGAAATATCCTTCGTCACAGGATGTAACACTAAAATATGTTATGTACACTTTTCAAATGCAACAGAAATAATAAATTGTTTGACAGACTAATGGAGTGCAAGATTTATTCCAATGTCTTCTTATTTTTAGTATTGATGGTTCTGTTCCTAACAATTTTTGTTTTTTTAATCCTACAGATAGCTAAACCTCATAGACTACTAGACCACTCTTCCCCCTCCTCCCATCTCTCTCACCTTCCAACCCATCTCATTCTAAAAAAGAAATATCACGTTCATCTCAAAAACTCACATGAACAAACTGTCGCACAGCAGCCAATAGCGCGATGGCAGCCTCTGGGTTTTGCTGTAAGCTGATGGTGGTCAGTCTCTTGATGAAGGCCAAAATCCTTTGTTGTGACACCTAAAACAAGACACCAGCACATAGCAATGATTCAAATCAGCAGTTACAGTTGAGCCTTCTACACCCTCTCTCTTGCTTCCTCTCAGCCCCCCTCGACCACTCTCTCCCTTTCTTCCTCCGCCGTCTCTCGCTCTCTATCCCTCCGCCATCTCTCTCTCCTCCCCCCACCTCTCTCTTTTTCCCTTTCCCAATTATCTCTCTCTCCATCCCCTCATTCCTCCCTCCCTCCATGCTCTTTCTCACACAAGAGATTGCTCCTCCGTGACACTGAAATTGTGCAAGTCAACCCTCTTTTGCCACCTTTAAAGAGGTTAAAACTTTTGTACTGCCTACAAACATGTATTTCTGAGTGGAGCATTAACTCCTTATCTTTGGCAAGCCGCACCCAGCAACTTGTGGTTCAAGTCACTGTGCCTGTGAATCAATGTCATTGGCTCAGTCACATTCCTATGAGACGACGATGATATGATATTCATTTTCGGCAATTGTCAAAAACAGGCCTCTCTTACCAGCAGTTCATTAGATGAAGAACTATCAAAATAGGTTCTTTTCTGGTAATTTAATGACCTACTAAGTGACATGTATGTCTCTTTCAGGTTTCATACCACAAGAGGGCTCCGTCATAGTGGGAAAACCCCCTAGGGAGATAAAGAGTTAAATAATGTATGTCATTACCTGGGTGATCCCTAACGCAGACCAAAATTACAAAACCACCCACTAGAAGGCAATGTTCCCCATGTTGGCAAGCACTGCAATAATAAATCCCCAGTGCTATTACTCCCTCAACATTCTACACTAGACACACACCAAAAAAACAAAAAACAAACCAAAAAAAAACCTAGAAGAGAAGAAAAAAATGATAAGAGAAAATTGCAACAAATGCAGTTCACCCCTACTCAGAGCACTTAATTGGCTGCTGGCATGGTTTCCTTCATGGGAAGCCAAGAATCTCTGCTGGGGTAATAATATAGCTTTTTAAGTGCCTTGAGCTTGCTACTGAGTGGGAATAAGTGTCATACAAATGCTATTTTTACTATTGTCATAATCTATTCTTTTTTTTTGGGGGGGGGGGGGGGGGGGGGGGCGGCGCTATATCCTTCTTTTTAATGGGTGCAAGATCTTAGTTATGTTTTATGTTCACAATTTAATATGTATCAGCGATTGTGATGATAATGGTAATGATGATGATGATGATGACGATGATGATGATATTATCATAATTATCATTATCATTACCTGTTTTCTCCTCTTGCTGATCATCACGTCCAGACATTGTAGCACAACTGGCACTGTCTCTGACGTCTCTCCTGGGTACACGACACAATTAGGACAATGATGTTTCATGATTTAGTAAGAGTTTTATGATGGTACTTGAAAACACAATTAGGTCACATAAGCGCCGAAGATTAGAGGAGTTACAAGAGAGTAACAAACACAAAAAAGAAAGAGGACATAAGGTGGGGTAACGACGACAGATGTTTGATAGGAAAGAAGAAGGAGCAAACCACATCAGAGCATCTGCCAACAGCCCACAGGACAATGATGAATTTTGTCTGGACACACAACACAGTCAGGACAATGATGAGTTTAGTCTCTTTTGTCCACACAGCCAGAACAATAGTGTTTTACGCCCCCCATCAACACAGTTCAGACAACCAACACACAGTCACATTTTTAATCTCAAAAATTAAATTCAAATCTGATGAAAACAAACACAATTTTTTTAGGCCCAGATTGACTTTAAAAGAAATTTGCACGTCATATGGAGCAAAACAATCCTTGTCTTGACTTTTTAACAAAAATTTACAGGTCATGAGAAAGTAGACGAACCTGCTCTAACGGTCACCTGCCCTTGACAATAACCTGTGCAAATGACCACTTCCCACTATTCCTTTTTTCTGTATTATGACACAGTCCAAAATGTCCACCTCTATAAGACAACCATTTTTCTCCGCAGCAATAGGTGGCTATCTTGGACAATTTCGACTGTAGTAGCAAAACAAGAAAATTGTCTCTGTATTCTACACCTACCTGGTTTAGTTTTAGTAGAGATTTTACGGCGCTCGCAACTGCCTTAGGTCATATGAGCGCCAGAAGATTAGGTGTTACAAGAGAGTAACAAACATAAAAAAGAAGGAGGGGAGATAGGGACGATAGATGTTTGATAGGAAAGAAGAAGCAAACCACACCAGAGCATCCGCCAACCACCCACCCCAACCTGAGTGCACTGGTACAACGATACAGTAGGAAGTGGAAAAGTTTGTGAAATCCCACCCGCCTGGGTTTATTGGAGTGAAGAGAAGCACATCAACACAACAAATTTAATTTAGAGCACGAGAAAAAAGCAGAAATAAAAGACGAAAAGAAAAGAAGTCACACCTACTAAAGGTCCCCTCCAACCACCCCAGCAGAAGTCTTTGTCTTATTTTATTTTATTTAGTAGAGGTTTTACGGCGCTCGCAACTGCATAAGGTTATGAGCGCCAAGGGGTGAATGTCAACAGAGAAGTCTTTACAAGGAATCGGGCTTACTCTGCTCACCTCTCTTGCTTCAACAGCACAAAGTCTGTTTCGACTTTCAAGGTACCCCGGAAATAGCGGGTCACAAGAATGTGACAAACATACAAAAGAAGTAGAGGAAATGACGATAGTAAGGATTAGGAGAGAAAAAGCAGCAGTTCCCCGTTGTAGTTCAGGCACAGTAATAAGCATGACATTGTTGAATCAGCCCATTTACAATTCTACTGTACATAAGAACGAGAAATGTTCCCCCATTTGGGAATGGCCTGAAGACACTTCAGTCAGTGGCACCGCCCTCTATTTTTTTCTGTCTGTATGTATAACTTGCTTTTTTTTCACAGGTGAGTGAGTTCAGACAAAGACTGCGTCGTGACAGATAGGACGTATCTGTGACACCCTCCAACTACCCACACCCACCTGCATGCACGGGGACCAGGTTACAGTAGAAGTGTTTGTAAAACCTGGCCGGGTCGATGTTGAGTACGGAGCCTTGCCCAGACAGGATGGTGAAGGCTGTCTGCATGCAGTGGAGGCTCTCACGGGTGGTCAAGTTCTGGGGGGGGGGGGGGGGGGGGGGGGGAAGAAAACAAAACAAAACACTTTAAACACTCTGCAGCGTAGAACTTTTTAGTTTTTCTTCTATTTTAGTAACAGTTTTACACAACTCGCGACACAATTAGGTCACGTAAGTGCCAAAGATCAGAGGTATTTCAAGAGAGTAACAAACACAAAAAAAAGATAGATGAGGATAAATGATGTTTGATAGGAAAGGAGGAGCAAACCACTCCTGAGCAACAACCAAGAATAGTAACAGAAATAGATTGTAAAGCTCATAGAGCTTGCTGTTCAGTGAGGATATGTGCTATAAAAATGCTATCTATTTATTATCATCAAGAGCTAAAGAAGTTTCATTAAAATGAGTCCAATCCTAAAAAATAAAATCGGAGTTTTGGAAGGTTATATGTGGTCAACCTTTCTATATGGCTGTGAATGCTAGATAATTACAAGAGACAGTTAACATAAACTCTAAGCAACATGAATGAAGTTTTGTAGGACACAATTGAGAATTTCATGGAAAAAAAAAGAAATCAAATAAGCTTGCTCTGAAAGAAGCCCAAGTGGAATGTTTACTCATAAAAAGAATTTGGTACTGGCACATGCAGTTCCTGGAACACATGAAATAATATAAAGGCCTTCTGGGGCGTAATAATGCTATGCTTTGGTTCTGACTTTTGTTGGTTAATTTTTTTACATTTTTAGAAAATAAAAGTAATAATGCTCAGCGGGGAAGAAAACCAAACCAAACAAAACAAAAACCCATGCATGACTCACCCCTGACTCAATGAGGCCGTTGAGAGCAGCAAACAAACTGTCAAAGTACTCAATGTTGATCAAATGAGCAAACCTGAGGAGAAGAACACCCACTTGTCTGAAGTACAGTCGAATATGTACATAACGGTTACTCAAAACCACAGAACAAAATGACAGTTTAAGTTATAGTCAGGTGGCCACTATGAACAGAATCTTGAGTTATGGTCATTTACAAGACTTGACAAGGCCAAATTTTCAATGAGTAACCCCAAGGCCTCCTATAAGACCAAAATAATGTCGATGGGGGGTGTAATCTTAACCTTAATTTTAATAGTTCATCCGCTGGCCAGGTGGTTAGGCTCTCAGACTCGCAACTGCAAGGACGTGGGTTCGAATCCCATCAGGTGCCCGCCCTGTCCTTGACAAAGGCACTTCACAATAATTTTTCTCTCTTCACCCAGGAGGGAATGGGTACCCGGCTAAAGGCAGTGAAAGATCTTGACAGTTTGTTAGTGCTCAAGCAATCCATGGTTTGCCCTGTATGCTTCCCGGGAAGCCAAGAATGTTTCTGAGTGTTCTAAATTTTACGGTTGGCTGGGGTAATAATAGTTGTTAAGCATGCTGTAGAGTATGGATATGCGTTTTATAAATGCAATTATTATCATTAGACAGTTTCTACTGTTCATGTATGTGTGATAAATAGGCAGTCAAAAAGAGTAAACCCCCTCCCCCCAAAGTTATACTCTAAAATTACCCTCTGCACGAACGCTTCAGTTCATGTAACACATTGCATCCAATTGATTACAAAAAAACACAGAAATTTTTTTTAAAAAAAGAACAGATAAAATCACAGTGTATATCAACTTTGTAATGTATTCTCAGCAAAATGAAATGATTTTAGCACCAAGACATAAATGCATCAAAGTAACAAAAAAACAATAAAGCAGATGCTACAAGAATTTGTGAAGCTGTGATTAACTCCCTCCCCCCCCCCCCTTCCCCTCCCAAAAAAACAAAAAAAAACAAACCCCAACACCATTCCCACAAAACAAACAAAAACAAAGCACTAAAGACATACAGCAGCAGCTGCTGCCCGACCTACTTTGCTAGTCCCTCGAGAACAGCGGGCAGCAAGGCTGAGTCCGGGGAAAGTTTGATCACTCGGATGTACGTCTCAAACACTGCCTGAATCACCTCTGTATGCTGGGGGAGACAGAAGGGGGAGGTGAGGGGTTTGTTGATTTGTTTAAGTAAAGAGAAGCTTATAATTGCAAGCACAATAATGGTCATTTAGCACAGCTATAAAGCAAGACAGACAGATAGACAGACAGGAACATCAGAGGGAAAGAAAAGAATTTAAGACATTTTCCAACTGGCATGAAATATTTTTTATTAAATACTGATTATTTTTTTAATACAGAGAAAATGATAATTTCTTCCAAAATGAGCAAAATATTCTTTTAATACTGAGTAAAAGACATTAAAAATACTGAGAAAAAGATTTGACTAAAATGCTAAGTTTATCTCTATAATAATCCATTGTGATAATTCAGACTGATAGCTCTAAAGACACCAGGTTTCAAACAAAGAAATGTAGGCACACCACAGAGAGGCCAGATATTGCGTGCTTACTATTCAGAAGCCTATAGTACACTGATTCACATTGAGCTGGATTTTAAGTTTTAGTAACAGTTTTACAGCACTTGCAACACAATAAAATCATGTAAGTAGCGAAGATCAGAGATGTTACAAGAGCGTAACAAACACAAAAAAAGAAGAGATATGAATGATAGATGCTTGAGAGAAAAGAAGGAGCACACCACACCTGAGCTCTCCCAACCTTCCATTGAGTGAATACAACTCTTGATTTATGCATAACCACAACAAGGGGACATCACTCAAACAAACATAGACAAGGTCAAACAAGTAACGAGAAAAAGAAAGCTACAATAAAATCCCTACCAGCCTGAGCTTCTTGTGTTTATCAGCCGACGCCTTCGTCTCCAGCAACTCTTTGTCCAGCTGTTCTTTCTGTTTGAGGCGCTGAAATGGAAAAACACAAAAATGTCTTGATGAATTGGGTTTTTTGGAGGTTTTTTGTGCATGTGTGTGGAATAAAGATAAGTACACTGACACGACTAAGGTCATATAGTGCAGGGGAAAAGCAAGACACACAGACGATCATAAACAGTTGAGGGAGAGAAAGCTGCAGGACCGTTAAGTGGCACCCTCCAACCACCCACCTGAAATAAATGCAACGGTTCTAAGTGTCATTATTAATACCAATATATAAAATTTTTACAGGGCTTAACCAGGACTACAGAACCCAGACTCTGAGCTCTTTACAAACACAAGTAGTATACAACATAAACAGAACATAGTGTTCTGACTAAATATCTAGATAAATCTCTAATCTAAAAACAGAAATGACTTGAGCTGACTTTTAAATGAACTAAAAGATTTGACCTCTCACTACCGTATCTTCTACTCTTTACATTGCAAAACATTTCTCATCTTTTGGAAAGCATTCATTCTAAGCTGCAATCTTACAGGTACTCAAACATTGGCACAATACCAACAAAATATTTCACTATTATTTCTGCAAATAAAGTCTCGATAAACACTTCTGATACACAGTCGAACCTGCTCTAACAGCCACCTGTCTAAGGCAATCATCTGTACAAACGACCACATTCCACCTGGCATTTCTGCTATAAGTGAGGCGTGCTGACAAATGAGTTACTTCTCGCAATCCAACAACGGACATATTGGCCGAAAAATCGACACTGGTGACAGATTTATAGATTTCTGATTGATGCCATTTAGTTCAATTCTACCGTGTCTTTTATTATTCCATGTTTACAAATTGTACAAACTTCACCTATAAAGTTGATGTATCAATTTCCATAAGGTTAAAATCCAAATAGTAACTCATTTTGCCGCAAAATAACACTGTCCAAGAATTCCACCTGTCTAAGACAATATTTCTCCTCAGCAATGGGAACTGTTGTGGACAATTTAGACTGTTTTTTCATATATATAGAAAAAAAAGTTTCACTATACAAAACAAAACCAGCCTACCTTCCGCTCCCTCCTTGAATACTTCATCATTTTCTCTTTCCGCTTCATTTTCTCCGTGGTCGCTGCTGAGCCACTCATATCCACCTCCTTGATCTTCAATACAAGGAAAGTCTCCAAAACCTGCAAAATAAACATCTTTTTCTATATTCAGGAAATAAATATTTGAAAGATGAAACTAAGAAAAGTGAAACATTCTAAAAGCCAGACCCCCCACCCCCTTCCAAAAACCCAAACAAAAACATTTAAAAGACCCCCACAAAAAACATATAAAAAGATACTGTACGTTAATAAGTAAATTAGTTTCACTATTCCCCACAAATGAGGTTTAGAATAATTGAAAACCTATGCATAATATAGATTAGGATGTTCTGGTTTGGGTATTTTTAAAAATTAATGGAAGGCCTTAACCCTACAACCTTACTGCTGACAAATGGCCACACACAGAACACACAGTAAATGCCTCACATACCTGAGGTTCTAACTGGTAACAAAAAAATCTGAAACTGTTTGGTCATCATGGACATAAGCGTGCCAGGACATAAACTTTATGGATCATATTTTTTAATACATCTTGCATCAAGAATTCTGGCAAAATCCAGACAATTTCAGGAACTTTGATATCTGGATGTTTTGTTTTTTTAACTCGGCACCTCTGTTCACATACCTGAGGTTTCACATCAAACTTGAGTTGTTTCACCATCTTGCCGATGGCTCGGACCACCTGAAACACACAGACAGATGGATGAATCATTTATGCCCTCAAGAGAAGAAATACATTTTGATTATTTCATCAGAGTTGAATACTCAGTGCATTACTGTCCTGGATAATGTTTCTTTTATCCATATAACAAGATTTTTGTTGTTGCTGTGTATGCCTCTGAAAATACTACAGCAAGACACTTTCTGAAAAGAGACAAACAAAATGCAATTTTATCCAACTTTCATTTTCTCAGCGTTTTAAATAAACAAGTCTTTTGGACTTTGTTTCTTCTCACTGGGAAATAGAAATAAACCTCTTAACTTAAAAAACAACAACCCATCAGTACAGGCAGTTTATTGGTTGTTTTTTGGGGGGCAGGGGATGGTGGGTAAAAAAAAAGCGTCATAATGTTAATTATACCAAATGTTTCTGGTTTTCTTTCTCTTCTATAAAAATCAAAACGAAAGTACAATGCTGCTGTGAATAAACAATGTGGTGTTTGAGAATGTTGGTAGCCATAATACAGGAGAAGTGAAGATCTTTCTGGTATTCCACTGCCATTGCTTCCGTTGTTGATGCTATTATTTCATATATATATTGCTGCTGTAACAAGAGGCAGTTAAAATGTTTAACAGAAATTCCTACCTCAAGAGTAACATCACCAAGTCTGTCTTGCTTGAAAACTGTTTTCACAGCCTCACATGCAACATAGTTATACTGCAAGAGACAAAGACAGAGTAAAATAAACTTTAATCAACGAAACAGTCAAAGCATTCTATTTGTTTGTTTTTTTTAGTATAGAGAAGCAATGAAACACAAAAATGATCATTTAAGGCAGGAATAAAGTGAGAAAGACTTAGAGAAACAACAGAGGGAAAGGGAAAAGTAGGAGCCACCCAGGGTGGCTCTGAAAGAGAGGGAGAGGGAAAGGGAGGGAGGGAGAGAGAGAGAGGGAGAGAAAGAGAGGGAGAGAGAAAGAGAGAGAGAGAGAGAGAGAGAGAGAGAGACAGAGAGAGAGAGAGACAGAGAGAGAAAGAGAGAGAGAGAGGAAGACGGATGCCTCAAAAAACCTGTTTTTAATTCATTCTGTT